CAACGTAAGTTTTCTTTCGTGATGGCGTCTCCAGTTCGGCGGTTTTCCAGCAGAAGCGTTTGTATATATCAAAAGGCCGCCTTTTTCATGTTTCGCCTTTCCCCGTTTGCCCTCTCACACCAGTAGATTGAATTGCCGAGCATTAGCGTTACCAGAAACGGGCAATATTGTAAAATAAACAGAATTTACTCCTTTTTAATGAGCTGATAAAAAGTAGGAATCAGCGGAAGTGTGAAACAGCGTGCGTATTTAGACAGGAAATTCTCATTTGCTGTTCACTGGAAATGAGATTTCTTGTATAGACATAAGCAGTCGGAAACTGTCTAGCACCTTGGCAGACCAAATCGCTGAAAGGCCTTTAAGGATTACTTGAGAAGCAATTTGCGCCTTGACACCCTCACCATGACATGTAGAATAACTGCCGAAACTAGTGGGTGATTATCGTCGAGTCGTAGTGAAATTGATTTTCACTGTCGAATTTGAACAGAGGCAGACTGCAGAGTTGTTTTTAGCATTCCTGGATCCTTATACATAGCCTATCGCCATTCTTGCAAAATTTCAGCTCACCATTTTCAGACTAAAAGTGCTTTTTTTTCCAGAAATCACTTTGTTTCGCATATGTTACATTCGGGGAAGCAGCATCATGCGAAAATTGCCAGAACATTCGAGAACATTACATTAGGAAGCAGCGTGTTTTCGTTCGAAAGGTGATCCGAAAAGAAGAGCTTCGAAAAGCGGAACAGATAGAACGGGTGCGAGCAGCACGTGAAGCACGTATTCAGGAGGAGTTCGAAGAAGAAGAGGAAAGAAGAAAACGCTTGCTCTATCGCAAATGGTGTGAAAATTACAAAGCTGGACTTGCTTCCCTACGTTCACAATCACCATCATGGCGTCCGCCAGTCCAGCCATCAGGACCTGTACTGCACCAACAACCATTATGGCGGCCACCACGGCAACAGTTACCACCACTGCGAGTACCATCACCACCACCTCCACCACCACCACGAGCACCCTCAGCTTCTTCGTCAAGTCTCATAACAACTGCTGAAGAAGCTCAGCCGTCTGGCTCAAACTGGGTTCCTCTTTTGCCCGACAATGATGATAGTGAAGAACTCCAAGAAGATGCATCCATCCTTGCCGGTTATGGGCCGCGAAGGAAGAGGCCGAAGGAGCAGCTGCTCGAGCAACAGAAACGAGAGGATGGCGTAAATCGTCCGGTTTCAGGTTTTTATATTTCTTTTTCGATTTGAAGCTACTAAAAAAGTGAAAAAACGGATCCACTTTTTCCTCGTAGATAATATCCGTGTAAAAACAGACGGCCACTTAACCGGCCTCTGAAAGGTTGCCACAGACATATCCTACAAGCGGTGGTTGCTGACTGGAGATGCATAGCTCATGGCCGAAGGACCTGACACAGCGCCAGCATCCTGAAACCATTTCAGCACGGGGTCCTCAAACCATTTCTCGGGGCGAAAATTTTTTTTATATAAAATATCGAAGGCTTCGATTTCGAATTTTGGTAGCTTTTACTTTAATTTTTTTAAATTTTCCAAACGGCGCTAGTTTCTGGCCGGGGCATTATTTTCCCGCCAGCGTCAAATCCAGACTATATTAGACTCGCTGGTTCGTTTCCAACGTAGGGGATCGCTAAATGTCTCTGTGTAAACAGTCCTTGGAAGAGGGGACCTCAAGAGCTTGTGGTAGAAATTTGGGACATTGCCAAGTGTTTCTGTTTTTTTCACAAGGAGTCGGTTGTGAAGGACTGTGGCACTGATTCTGACACTGGCTTGGCTTCTGAGTATAATGCCTTTTCACCAGTGTGCTGTACCGCCACAGCGCCAAACGAGGAGTTCCAGTGCAAGACTGCTTCAGATTTTGTCGCGTTTCTTGCAGTCGACCTTTGCAGTTAGTGCAGTGCGAGGAGGGGTCGCCTTGATGCGTGTCTTGGTTGGTAAAACGGTGATTTTGTTCGAATTCTAAGTTTTTTTTTCAGCATATCATTATCTGGAATCTTCGGCAAGCACAAGCAAGTCGTCACATTGGATCCCACTGCCGCGTGCCAGCGCACATGAGCCATCTCGTATCATGCGGCACTATTGAAACCCAAGCAGAAAACTCGAGTTGAAAGTTTGTCAGTTGTTTATGCTGTGCAAGTTTCTTTATGTTGATTATTTCGTTACTTTTGGTCAGCTATTGCTTTTCTGTTGCATCTGTCTTCGCCATCGGTGCAGCGGACAACTTTTTCGTTCTTGTCTATTTGGGCTTTTCTTCATTTAATCCTGTCTTTTCACTGCATTGGTTTCTCATTGATCCTTCTGGGTACAGCATTTTGACTTAACCGTTTATAAAAAAGTGG